AAATAGTAACTTACTCAATATACATTTCAGACAGATGTAAAAGTGTGAACTTTCTATTTCTGTCATCCTCAGAAAATAAATGCCGTCCTCAGAACTGTAAATTTGTTTAAAACACAAGTTAATATCAAAATGAAACAATCATATTAAAATATACACAATATGATTAACTTTGTTATTATAATAAATTTGAATAATTGCATAAATTACAAGATTATTAATAAATTTGTTATTTTAAAATCACATTTTTAGAAAATCAGTGTTTTCGACTTTTTCAATTTTCATTTTGATAAAAAAACAATTATCAATTTAAACGTACATTTCAATTATTATGTTATAAAGACGGATTCGGAAATAATATCAATAAGTATATAATCATAATATGAACAAGTTTAATTCACACTATATTATTTCCCGTCTCAAGTTCGCGAGATATAATTATTGTTTTTGTTTACTGATTATTGTGGCGATTTTTTGATTGTATTGAATTTTTTGGCATTTATGACAAATTATTACCATCATTTAAAATTTGAACTTTGACTCGAAATATTAAGTGTAAATTATAACTTGAGTTATGAGAATGGGCCTTATGGGGAACTGAACCTTATGGATTTGATTTTTGTATCCTCAGAAAAATAATTTTAATAAGGATAGCTTTGATCCTGAGGATACACCTTATCCTCAAAAAACCTTTATTATGATTGGTAGGTAAAAAGAATCGTGTTTTTGTGATAACATATTATCTTTGTAAAAAATTTCACTGTTTTAAAATGCGATTTTATCAACATTTTATAGTTTATTTGTAAACATTGTTCAAAAAGAACAATATTTAATTGTTGTGGTCAATTATAATAATCAAGTAATATTGTACAAGTTCGACACATTATTATAAAATATCTACTATTTAACTTCTTGTTCAGTTTTGATACTCTCGTATAATCAAGTTTTGTTTCTTAAAGTTAAGCTTTTCAAAACTTATTTCGTAAAATTAATATAACAAATTCTATTATTTAGTTTTTTATTTTAATAGCCTCAAATAACAAAAATCAATTTCATAAAATGTTTTGAAACATAATATCAATTATTTTGCATTAATAAATCTTGATATTATTTTTTTGTAATGTTGACTAGTTTTATCATTGTAATTGTAATTTCTGCTCCTTATTTACTGTTAATTTTTTCCAATAAATTGAAACAAATTTTTGTTTTATTTTAAGTGTAAATGTAAATACCAAATAATTTTAAAATTTTCAAAAACTAATCACTATCTTTTTATTTATTTGTGTGATTTAGTAAAAATAAATTAGACTTTAATATCAAATTAATAACTCTTATTTTTAATGGTTTTGTGACTGAACATAAATACGAATTAGTTGGTTTAATAAAAGTTAATATTATTTTAACTCTTTCAATTATTTTTAGTATTTTCATTAGAATGTAAAATTTAATTATATTAAATGATAAATATTAAAAAAATGAGCAATTTCAATAAACGCTATTGGCCAACTTTTAATTGTGTATAAAACCACCACACTGCTATATCCAAGTTTTGTTCATTTTTAATTAAATTATTATTTACAACAACAAAATAAAAATTACTAACAAATTCATTTGCATCTGTTGAATTTTTAGATATTTACTATTTGAAACGAGGAATTTGTAAAAAATAGAACATCACATCATTCGAATGGATGGCCGGATATTTGATTCAGGACAATTGATTCCTTGTGATAATTTGGTTATTAACAATGGTATAAGTCTGGTTTTCATTTTTAGATTAGTGTTTTTGATGGACATTTGATTCCCGAATAATAATATCGGAATGAGATAATGAATTGTTATTTATTAATTTTTATGTAAATAATCGGGTTTGATTAACAATTTTGTTTTTTATATACAATTAATTCCACGTGGATAATAATCATGTTATTGATTTTTTAAAAATACAACTGATTTGATATATTCAAAGATGTTACCATGCAATGGATTTTAACAACCATTCATGCCAATATACCCATGCAATTATTCCAACTGTCAACAATATCAACAACAAGTTCCATTCATGCAACTTTATCCATATAAACCACATTATACAATTTACAAAACCAACACATTGGATCAACAGAACAACATATTCAGTTAAATAATATTCAACTTTTATCATTTACACAAAATGTCACAAATGATATGAATACAAATTATAAGCTAAAGTTGTTTACAAACATTAAATCATCGAATTCAAAAATATCAAAAAGAAAAACACCAATAATTAAAGACGATGTGGTCCATAGAATTGGAAGTTCTTATTTAAATTACCAGTTTTAAGATATTCATTGTGATGTATCAATTAAAATTGTTGAATTTGATGGTTTAATTAATATTATCACATTTTTCAATTTTGACATTATCACTTCATACAATCAAATACATTCGCGCCCATCTTACAATGCAAAAGTAAAAAACTAAGCAAAAGAAAGATTAATTGAAACTGTTTTACTAATTGAAAAACGATTTGTTTCAAGTTCAAAAGCACTGGAAGATAAAGATTTTTTTATGTACAGTAAAAGAAAAGTACAATTTATATCAAAACTTTGCAACAACCATTACTTGTTGAGATCTTCTTATTTTTATATGGTTCCCCAAAACGAAAACACAATTAATAAATTAATAAAAACACCAATCAAAAAATCAATGGAATTGGATGTTGAAAAAGACAATTGTGTTTGTATTAATAATGAAAAAATAGAACACTCGATCGAAGATGTTACAAATATTAACATTAAAATTGTGAAGTCATGGATTGTTGCAATGGATCAATAATACCATTGGTTTTAAAAACAAAAGATATACAGATACAGGAAAAACCAGGGATCAAATCATAAACCATTCAAAAATCAACATATAACCAAGCTTGAAATGTAACATGCAATCAGACATTTATTGCATAGTACATTTTTAAGTACATAAACATATCAACACGTGTATTTAGTTTAAGTTCTTGTAATCTGAAGAAGTCCAACTTTTCTTTAGTTCAAAAATTGTACTTATACTGTACAACTTCAGTTGTTTATGAATTTCCAAGATCATACTTTTATATCACCAATTTCAAATGAAAATGTATATGCA